GGAGCAAAATATGCGTCTAATTAAAATCCAGGAAAAAGGGAAACTTTGAGTTATTGCTTTTGTGACTGAATCAGAGTGGCTGTTCTGTGTCTGACAGGTCACACACACAAACGCACTAATGTCTGCTCTGGAGGCTGCCAGCATCATCACAAAGCCCCAAAGCTCAGGAAAGAGTCCGCTCTATAGCCTCCAGCCTCCAGTTGCGATGCACTGTCCGCTTCTTGCTGTGGAAACAAACTACTGTAGCCAAGGTTACTGATGGGGCAAATCGATAATGTTTTATCATTAAAAAAAAACTTATTTTTCAGCAACAGCTGGATTGTCTCGAAACAGCAAACATGTGGGACAGTGAGACGCAAGTCAAAGGGGACGTTTTGACACAAAGAAATTTAAAGTGCTTCCAATATCTGCACAAATTACCTGCATCACTTTAACATTAGCTTCTCATCCTTAAATCATTGAGCAGGTGGTTTTCAGAGAATATCAATATTGTGCACTCTGCAACAAAAAGATGCAGCAAATCAGAAGCACAGACAGGTTTGGATTCCAAAGCAGATATTTGTTTTGTTTGATTTACTCAACAGCGTGTTTCACAACCTACATCCCTCTGCTGGATTTTGAACAGCCATCCATTGATTTAAGTCCATGCAGTACGCAAGAGAAACACATCAAGTTTGGCAACGTTATTGATTAAAAACAAGCTGTTGAAAGATGCTGCAATTTGAAGCATCTCTCAAAAGATGAGAGGAAAACGTTTGGACAATTGACTGATTACCGGACGTTTCCAGACACGTTAGTCTGCCTGCTGTAGTTGTTATTTTAGCTTAAAGTCAACTTTCAAGAAAAAAAATAATAAAATACATCACTCTCTTGGGAGCTTTTAGGCAGCAATTACAAAACGACCCCCCCGCAGAGCAATCAGAAATATTCAAATCAACCACCAGCAGAAAGTCTTAAATGAATCTTTTATACAATTCTACGAAGATATTTTTCTGTGAAATAAAATCAAGGGCACAACTGTGAAAGCCCTGCAAAGGAAATTATTTTCTTACTTTTGTAGGTTTTAAATTTAAATTAAGAAATTTCAAAGATGTTAAAAAGTTAAACAACTTCTATGTTTTAAACTTTTCAAGATCAATTTTAAAACCATCAAGATCTTAAAATAAATAAATAAACTCAAGCCATTTTTTTTTTCAAGCACAGGCATGCAACTCCAGTACTTACGTCCGTAGGTTCATTAACTTTTTCCCCTTCAGTCAGAATATATTAAAAGTACTGTTTTTGATGGCAGGTTCTACCCAACCAATTAAAACAATAATACTTTTAAGCCAAACCCAGTTAAATATGCACAAATGGTAATGAATTCTGTAATGAATGAAACTATAACAAGTCTCCTTCAGCACCAGAAATTTAAGACACCAATAAAAATGTCATTCAAGACCTGTTAGGATGTATTAAAGCTGAAATTTTTGATTTTTGAAAGCAATAATTTAGGTATAAAAATCCCCACAGCAACCATATTACGGAATGAATCTCACAGTAAATGTCTTTTAGAAATTAATCTAAATTATGCTTTTTATCTAAACTAGAAACTTATCAGTAAGAGATTGGAAAGCCTTTATCTGCAAGTTAAATACAGAAAAAAAATGCATTTTCTATTTCTTAATTTCATAAAATTGCACCATTGACAGTTTATAAAAAAATTATTAATGAAAAGCATGCAATCTAATGTTCCCAAAAACACTTGATAGGGTTTAGGAACATATTTTCTCATGCATAAACTCAATAGGATTTATATTGTAACCTCTTCCGTTTTATTTCGGAGTCATAAGAAGCACCCCATTAAGGAAACTGCAGCACAAATCAGAAAGTCAAACTTTAAAGAAAATTCAAAATCATCAGCAATAAAAAAACGCCTCATCAGTGCACCTCCATACAATATTATTATTGGGCAATAATCTCATGTAGGACCCTGTTGATGATGAGCAGTTTTAATTTTCATTTAAAAGCTACGGTGAATTTGATTTATCCCAAAAACTGACACCGTGATTTAGTGTTTTACTTTAACTATGCACTTGTTGGTACTCTGAGAACATCAAGACAAATTGCACATGATTAAATTAAGTTGGTGCGATATGTTTGGCCACATTGAATTGTATTAAATAGTCAGTCAAATTAATTTTTAGAGCAGCATTAGATGGTGTGGTCAGTATTAATGCAGTGAGAGATTTTGTACCTAAAAAAAAACGGAATGAATTTGCAGATACAATTGATTATTTTTGCATAAAATCTGCAGCGATGTAGATTTTTAGGTTGTCTGAACATTGTACCAGCATCTTTTCTACCTCCTTTTGTTTCTTTTCTTTCTCCTATGTATTGATGGCATTACTTAAAATATAAGTTGTGCATCAAATTCCTAATGACGCTTTATTGTAAGCTTTTTGTTCATTACAAGATAACTTTACATAGTGTGTACGAATCTATATTGTAAACAGTTTTGTCTAAATTAGGAAAATTATCAAAAGGGAGATTATTTGCGATATATTAAGTAGATTTGTTGCACTGATAACAGAAAGCCTCCTTGTGACCACGAGGGGCTTTATCTGAGAAGTTAATGATCTTTCAAGTCCCAACAGTGACGCTCAAAGTATGACTGAACCGCTGAGAAACACAAAGGAGTTTTTTCTGCCTTTAGAAATTGAGGGAATCTGGGTTTCAAGAAGCAGACTCCAGTAATTCAAGATAAGCCAGCTCACGTGTGATTCAGCGATATGAGCAAAAGAGAAGGAACAGCGAAACAAACCTGACAGACTTCTCCACTCTTCTGGCTGTGAAGTAATAGTGAAATGGTCAGAGCTCACTCAGCTGGTATCATTCTTTAAAGTTGCGCCTACTTTCGAGTCGAGCGTACGGTGCTTTAAAAAAAATAAAAATAAATAAATAAATAAATCTCAGCCAATGCTTATCTCTTCACGGAAAAAGCCGCTTCTCCAGAGCTCGACGACTCCACACGGACTTCCAGTTTTCAGCTCAGTTACACACATCTAGCCGAAGAGCTAGCCTGCTAGCTACTGAAATAAACACTTGGCTTTGTGGGGGCTCTTAACTCTTCAATTTCCGGATCTTTTTTCCGAGTGGACGTAAAGGTTCCTCTTCACAGGGGGCGGCAGCAGACGTGTCGTGTATAAACGTTCATTCCTGTCCCCCTTTTAATAGTCCTCTTTGTGCTCACACAATTTCTTCTTTTCTCATTCTCTCAGACAGCCGCTCACTCCTCTTCTACACACCACAATGGGTTCTGTGCCGACTCTTTTCAACACAAGCACCTTTACGCGTTACGACGTCCGACGTCGCTTTGCGGCCGTGGTTGCTTAGCAACATTTTTAATACATGTCGAGTCTGGAACACCGCCTACTTCTGCATAATTTCTCCCTTTTTATTATTCTCATTGTGTTGAGAACTCTAAGATTAAGCGAAATGAACCCTTATTTTGGGTTTATTTATGCATATTTTACAAAGTGCTAAGGCTTCATGTGTGCAAGGTGCAAGATGCTGGAAGGATCCATGCATGGATGTTGGATAGTCTCATCAGAAACATTAAATACAATTTTTAAAATGGTGATAAAATACAAAGTGAAATGAGAAATTGATATTTTTTTTTCACAGTCAGGTATCAAATTGTATGATCATCATACAATTTATATATGAGACATGCTTTCATATTCATCACGAATATGATTGTGGTGTTAAAGAGTTTAAACTCTTAAACTGCAAATTCTTAACTGATTTAGAGAAGGATGAAGAAAAAAATTGTATCAGTTATTGCATTTGGAGCCAAATTGAAAGTACTCACCCCCCTGTGTATATGCAGTGACATTACTGGAGCACACATTTGCACAAATTCAGGTATAGTGGGTGGATATAAGTAGGCTATGTTTTGCTTCTCTTTTTTTTAATCTATTAATAATTCCAGGTTGCGTTTCTTGTACTCTCTCTATCTCTGTTTGTTTTTACCTTAATAATAGAATTTATTGTGGCCACCCTGAACTAAACAACAGGAAGCCTAATCCACAATCACTAAGAACAAAATTCAAGGTTTTTTTTTTGTATAACAAATGCGAATAGGCAATGGTTCATCACGAGGAAAGTATAATTGCCTCAACTTCCATGCATTATGAATGAATTTGTGAATATAACCTAATACATTTCCCCCCACAAAAAATCACTTTTAGCTCTTGACACGTTTACTACAGCATCAATGAGCAGCAATTGTTTACTGTGAGATTTTGAAGGCACTGCCTGCATTAGTTTGTCTACTGCGCCATCTGGTGGAAGATGAAAAACTTTCCTCATAACTAGAAATATTTTCAAACACTAAGTATCCCTAGCAATCATACAAGCCAAAAAAATACATATGTATATAAATAATGCACAAATAAAAACATTAAACTCAAAGCATTAATTCGTTTACCAGCAAATACGGGAAATCACAATTCTAAAAAGACGATACAAATAAAATGCAATAATAAGAAGCCCGTGGTTTACTTCACAGAAGCAAATAAAAAGTCAAAAATTTCCATTAAAATTGGCACAGAAAAAAAAGATCAAATGTAAGGCCAGTTATTGGCAAACGAAGTAGGTAGACAATAAAGATGATTGACAAATTAAAAAGCTAATTATTCGATTTAAAAAAATGTCCACACTGTCAGATATTCTTTAGATTTTGTGTTCATTTTCAGTCTAAGTTTGTCCACCTTAGGTAAAAAAAAAAACCTATAGGCTATTTCACCTTGCTCGTCTTTAAGTAATTATACACTAAGGTCAATATCATTCAAGACTTTCTTCTCAGAAGTTTGTCATTCTTCCGTGAAGAGAAAACAAGAATTTCCGAGTTATCTGAAAGGCGTCACGCACGCTACAGATGCGGATGTTGCTGCGGCGTCTTTCCGAAGTGTCACTGTTAACTCAGAGGAGGAAAGTTTGACCCAAACACCGTGAAGATGTCAAGCAGCGCGAAGGGCCGACAAGATAGTGCGGCACTGTTTGTTCTCTCCGCAGTATGGTTAGCCTTAATAACAATTATCAGCGTATGGAAACTAAAACAATTCAAATACAGACTCATTAATGAAGCTGGAGGTGCAATGTTTTACGGTAAGTAACCCCAGACCCACGAATGACAGGGTAAATCGCGGAAGCTGCTGCTCAGCAACACTTCCTGGACTCAGTTCAATTAATGTGCCACAATGTTTATTACACTAAAGTTAGGACATTACAGGTGCATCTTTGTAAATCAGATTATCATTGAAACGTACATTTATTTCAATAAATCAATAAAACTAAATACAAGTAGATTTATTGCACACAGAGTCGCATAATTGAGGTTTATTCCAATCGATTCTTGCTTACATCTAAGCAACAATTAAAATAAAATAACCTGTTTCTCAGAAAATGTTCATCTTACCTATAGGATCATGTTATGGTCTGCCCATTCTTGCTCTCTTGATCTCAGAGAAATAACTTGACAAATTGACAGCAGGGATGTGCAATATACCACAAACTTGTAAAGGACATTTTGACAGGAAAAAATAGAATTGAATTATGTAAGTCCAGTGAATTGGTGCTCTGTAGGTAGGTAATACATTTTGTGATGCTCCTGCTAAAGCAGCAGAGACTATTTTATGGGGACATTAAGATGTTTCAGTAAAGAGATTAAGATACTGTATTGCCGAGCAATTTAGTTTTCCATTAGTCAGATGAAAAGTTCTATTGTGTTACTCCCTATTCAGGTCTGTGTTCACAATAAACAGAAAGCTGAAAGAGTATTTGTTTATTGTATTTAAGTCATATCATCATTACTACATTCACTAATGATTTTCTTTTACTACTCAGCCCTAAGCTGCAACAAGCATAAGGCAAAATTGGAAAGATAATAATCAGCCATTATGCATTTAATAGCTTTTTTTTTCATTATTTGATTGACCTCGATTACATTTTGCAAGCATTTTTTGTGACTCTTTTGCAGGTGTCTTTCTGGGTTTAGCTGTCAGGTACTTGTGGATGGACCGAGAGGATCATTTGGAGAACATGGGCAGCGTTTGTTCTTTCCGCGGTCTAAACAGCACTCCTCATGTCATAATGGTCAACATCTCATCCCGTGAGCACTGTTACAGACTTATTGACAAGAAGGGCCAAAGATGCTCGCAGCTCCCAAGTCGTCACACGGTAACTATGGCAATTTAGTTTGACCTTCAGCAGAGATGCATGGCAAAGCAAATCTTTTACACGGATAAGCTTTTGTATGTTGTGTGATTAGTACAACTTGAAGCGTCATGTCCTACAAACTCACTGCCTTTGAAAAGACGTTTAATTAGCATCGGAGCAGGAGTATTTGAAGCGTTCTGGATGCACCCCAAGAATTTGAATCAACATGATCCTTTAATGGCTTCTGGTTATTAGTTTTCCGGGTTGTTTTCATGGTCGGTTTGTTATTAGAAAAGCATGGTAGTGCACATAAAGAAGGGAAGACAGCTATTTAATTCATATTAGGGATTATTAGAGGACAAATACAGAAGATTGCTCTTTTCATTTGTCGTATAAGGCCATTCAAGTGAAGCAGCTTATTTTCATTCTTAGGTTGATATATATAGCAACATCAACCTCTTTGAATGCATAATTTAACCTGCTTGAAAAAAATGTCGATTCAGGACAATTTCCCATTTTGTTGTTTACATGCTGAATTCCCATAATAAGATACTTTGGCAAGGGGATATTGGTGGCAGATTGCACTGCACTGCAGAAAAGAGAGGAAAGTGTCTGAGCAGACACTGCTGGTTTTTTCCTCTTGAATAGACACCTCACACTTCAACCTGTGGCGCAGAGCACAGTAATGGATGTAGATAGCTCTCATCCTTTTTAAAATGACAGGCTCTATTATAACACAGACACTAAAGCATACAGTGATGTGTACAGTTTATGGTAATTGTAGCCTTGAAGAGATTTATGGCTGATAAAGATTTAGAGTGGTGGAAATGGGGGTAATTAATTTCATTTATAAAGGCTGCAGTGAGATCATTATACCTTAGAGATTGAAAGATTTTATGTAGGAATATGCTCCGTCATTGTTTTCTTATCAACTCCATTAGAAAAATGGTGTTTAAAATGCTGATCAGAAAGTTTTAGTCTACATAGACACATTTTCTTATGCTTCATCTTAAGCCTGTATTTTTTGCACAAACCTAACTTGGAAGGCAAAACATGGAGCCACAATTTTCTTGAAATTGCAGCTTAATTTCAATCTGCATTGTATGATTACAAATCAAATGCAATATGCAAGTCATTTGATTATCATTTAGTTGAGATGACATTGAAAAACACAGAAAATATTTGTGTTATATAGATTAACTGCACACGTAATTAATTATTTCAGGAATTGATTTCTGTAAAGTTTCTGGCCTGCATCTAATTTATGTAAAAAGGGGCAGTGAACAACTCAAACATAAATGTAACCATTTGATGTGCATAAGCTAATGAAAACTATTTTAGATGAAAAATGTTATATTATGTTATGGCCTTCACAAACATGTGGACATCTGCTTTCACAGTTGTTTTGTAAGCTGTGACTGATAGCCTCCAGAATAAGATGAATTAAGAAATGTTCAATACTAAAGAAGCTGGCTCTTCACAGACTTCACTGTCAAAGTGTAGTAATGAAAAGTTAAGTGAATGGAAAAAGTTTGATAGAGAAGAGAGCACAAGCAGCAGGGACAAAAACAGACATGACAAAATTTTACAGTTAAATTTGTTTAAGAGTTTTGGGAAGAATAGATGTGAACTATTGTAGAATGAGTGCTTCAGCAGTAACAACACAACATTTTTCTTGTTGAAACCAAGACAACATCAGAAGTAAGTCACTACTTTGGAGTGGGCTTATCCTGTGGCTCTAAAATGTTTGCTTTTCAACAGCTGAATGGTTCCAGCTGTTGTTCCAGTAAATATTAATTGTAATTAATATTTTCTTGGTGTAAATAACAATCTTTAAAATAAGTGTATGACAAATTATGTTAAATAAAAATGAGCTGACACGTGGAAAAAAGAAATTAGAATTTACAATAATTAACAGTAAAACCACAGAGCAAATGATCAGAATTTATCCTTGAGTAATTAGCACAACAGTTTAGAAAAAACATCAATATACTAGCATCTGATTTTATATTTTAGTGATTTGAAGGGAGAAATTTGACATATGAAAAGATTAGGTAAGTTATTTTCTGCACTTCACAGATACACTCAGCAAGCATGAATGTGGAGTGTGTTTAGAAATTTGTTGATGAAGCTTAGGGGGGATGTTGTGACCAGTGACCAGCTGTGAACCTTACAAATCATCCAGGCCAAGTGTAACTCTTTTCTAATGGCTTTGACTCCTTGGCCCATTATGAAAGCCAAGGTCTCATTAGTAAACCAGCAAAGACTACCACAGAGGCCATTACATTAGTCAGACCGTGTGTAGACTTTGAGCCATTAGACCTGATACATATGGGGAGCGAGCAGAGAGAGATAAGGATTTCATTGCATTACTGAGTCCATTATGTGCCACTGGGGAGAACAGCATTAAAGTTTGTGGTCTGATTAAATTTAGCACTGCTGAGCTGAGAAGACAATTAGTGTATACAGCACACCTCCATCCTCAACGTAGTGGTGCAGGTGGCCCTTAGAATAAAGCTACCAGATATGCATAATTTACTCGCTGCAGTGGCCATATTGGTTTGTGTCATGCATATTTGTGTTTATCTTATATTTTAAAAATTCATGGATGCTGTTCTTTTTTGGCAATTGCAGCCACACAAAAGTAATTTATAGAGTGCTAGCTTATGGGTGCACAGCAATTTGTAGATCTAGTTTCCTCTTTAAATGCAGAATTACTCAGAAAGCATGCTGGCTCGCTGGTTTCTATAATGGACTTTCCAATATTGGATGTATTCTGTAATTTTATGAAACATGCCAGAAATTCACCTCTGGTAAATATTCATTAGAGTATGACCATGTCCTAGATCAAAAACGTTAATAGAGGCTTTCATCTATCCACTTCTTTGATGCTAACTAAAACTGCCCTTTTAGTTAGTTTAAGGGCAGTTTTTGGTTGTTCTCACCAAACCTCATCATTTGGACAGGACATATGACGATTCCATTTTTTTCCCCTTAAAAGCATATATTTTTAAATAAAACCAGAAGGTTGCTGCAGTGTATTTTTTCTTTACAAATCTACCCACAATGCAAATTAAAATCATCCAAGAGTGAAATTGTACATGGAATTCTGCCTTACAGATTGGCTGGTATTGCATCTCATTGGCTGAGATGAGAAACATTCAGAGAGGATATAAATACAGAAATGTCTCACAGTATGGCCACTGTTTGTGTTCAAGGTAATTTGCAGCATGGATTTTATTGCTAATTTATGGCACAGCTCAGCTTTAATGGTGGTACTTTCTTATCTGGATATGTTCTAGAAGCTTCTTGGATACAGACAGCTATAATTTTCATTTTGCATTGTGCTTTTCATTAATCATATAACCTCAAGACACATTGGCAGTGTGCTACATCAGTGCACTGTCATAAAATCACTAAGTGCAGGAGAGCTTTGAGGCAGCTAATACCATCAATTCCAGCTTTCAGCAACAATGTTCATTCTGGCACTCTAATCAAAATATCTTATGTTCCTAAATTTTTCTGACAACACATCAGACATTTCTGATATGTTTTTATTTTTTATAATTCATTACACCCTATTGCAACCTTCTTATTCGAGCAAAAGAAATGTCTTGGTGCCTCAAATCATACAGAGAACCTACTTTTAATGGAAACTTTACATTTATTAAAACTTTGCTTTCTTTTCGCTTTAAAAGTAATTCAACAAAGAGCAATTTTCTAATATATATCTGCATGCCTTTATGTGAAGTAAGCAAATAAAACTGTTAAGACTGATTTATCATTTTATTGACAATCAATCTTTCTTACCCTTGAGTGATCACTAGCACAGGAAAAGAAGCACAGAGATCTCTGTACATCCCTTAAGATTCAAATTTTATTCAAAATCAATGCAAAATGAACAACATTTCAGTTAAGTGTGTGTTTTTAAATATGTGAAATATTCAACTGAATCAATCATACAATAAATGAAGTGACTGTCTTTTCAGGGTATGCTTGATCCGCAAATCCTTTTTGACCTTTTCCTGCCCCCCATCATCTTCTTTGGGGCTTACACCCTGAATCAGGTGAGATAGCTGCGTCATTAAAACCACATTGAAAATTAAAATAAAATTGTATTTTGTGCTGCCTCACTTATGGATGTGTTGTTCACCATAGATCTTGTCTGTTTTATGATTTTCTGACTGTATCTGCCCTTTGACTCATGTTCTAGAGTCGATTCATCAAGAATCTGGGCTCTATTGTGACTTATGCTTTTCTGGGCACCATGATCAGCTCCTTGTCCATAGGGTAAGTGTTCTGTTCATTCACACTGATCAATTCCATGCAACAAATGTTCTAGAATGTGTATCTCAGCTTCATAGGTGATTTTCCATGTACCTTATGTTTTAATCTGTTTATGTTTTATTGTAGACACAAGCATGTTATATATGCAGGTACTCAGTTTCTCTATGTACTCATTATCCACTGTGTTGCTGTTGAAGGACAGGTTATGTTTGCAAGCTGCAGCAAAGCAGCTAGTTATGATATGAAATGAGCAGTTTTATTTCTGCAATATTTAATAAATATAGCAACTGGTTCTTAACCAGATTATTTCACTGCTGGATCAAGACCAGATTATCTGAGTTAGTTTTTCTTGATTGCTTTTGTCCAACTTACAATTCATACTCCACATTATCAAAACAGCTAACTCAGGCCTAAATAGTTGCACTCATGGTCAACTTGACATATTTTGTTTGCAATAGGCTCTAACCAGACCAAAACTTTTAAAACATGAAGCAAAACCAAATGTTACCTTTCAGCCAAGTATATAAAATTTCCAATCAACCATTACATAATGGACAACAAAATATGGTACTTGCTTGTCACTGCTGTCTAGGGGTTTTCAAAGTGTGGGAGAGCTTACCCCTCTCGGAGGGATAGACAACTGCAAAATACATTTGTACTATTGACTCTCAGTCTCATCTGCATTGGATCCATACTGGTAAAGAACAACACAGAGATGACACGTTTAAGGGCTGTAAGCAGATTGTTGGAAGTGAAAATTTGTTGGATGTACAGTGAAAAGGTGCTTCAAAAGATTATACTGATTTTGGGTGCTTCCAATAGTTTGAACAGGGGATTTCTGCTTTTTTACTATAGTTAGATAATGGAGTTTGGACTGCTTGAAGATAGACTGTAGATCCTACAGTTCTAGATTGTGTATTTATTCCAAGGGTATACCCCAGGTCCGATAAAAGTTGCTGTTTATGGGTTAGGTTGAGAACTAAGGTGTGAGCTGAGTTTAGTTTAGGTTAGGGTTAGGCATTTACACGTAATGGTTACATTTAGAGTCTGAGTCTGGATTAGGCTCGAAAATGAATGCAAAATTAATGCAAGTCAGTACAAAGTACTTATGAAGAAAGAAAGACATACTATATATGTGTGTGTGTGCTTGTTGGTGTCACTCAACAAGCACTGGAGAGTGCTTGTTACACAGATAACATCTGCACTGTTATTTATGTAACTCAGTTCTTCCTTCTTTGTTCAGCATGTCTAACAACAATAAATGCAAATGTGAAAAGAATAAAATAAAACATAATCCAAAATTCAAAGTTTGAACTGCATGTCAGTACATTGCGCTGTCAACTGCTACACCAAAAACACCACAATAATACTGTAATATTTTAATATTTCTGTATTTGCTGAGTGTACAAAGCAGAAGATGTGAGTACATTTTCTGAGGTGACTACATGAGAGTCAACAGATTGACTGTAAATGGAGAACCATGAGAATGAAAACGGTTTCCAGTGTACAATAATGAAATCAGTTTGTGTGAGAGACTTGGGCATTTATTTATTAATGTAATTCACACACATTACTTTACAATAGGCAATAATAAACCAATGTACAAAAGTTTAATATACTAGGAAAAAAATATTTGCTTAGGAATACAACATGGAAATAGGAATAGACTAAATTTAATTCATTTTTAGTTAACACTGCAATTTATTTGTCAGTCCAAGTAAGTCACTGTTATCATATTTTGGTGATGTGACCATCAGTTTTGCATCTCTGTATAAAATCTCTCCTTGCTTTTTTGTGCAAAGTGTTGTTAAAGCAAGAATAGCACAGGTGGAGCAAATAACATTAATTATGTTCTGGAAATGCCCCAGTCATCTGGTTTCAGTGTGTCAGCGTTGGTGTGGCAGCAGCACCATGCAGCTTATCAAGTGATGTATTACAATGTCTGCAAAAGCTCTTAGTGTGCTGAACTGTGCTAAAGATGAAGGTCTTGGAACCATCTGACTCTGCTAGTGGAGCGTGTGTGTGTATATATATATATATATATATATATATATATATATATATATATACATACACTCAACAAAAATATAAACACAACACTTTTGTTTTTGCTCCCATTTTTCATGAAATGGACTCGAAGATCTAAAATTCATTCCAGATAACAATATTGCCATTTCTTTCAAATGTTGTCCACAAATCTGTCTAAATGTTTGATAGTGAGCACTTCTGCTTTGCTGAGATAATCCATCCCACTTCATAGGTATGCCACATCAAGATGCTGAACCCTAACAGCAGAGTATTGCAATTCTGTCCTGAAAGCACTAGATGGCAGTCTCTGATTTTGTTAGATATTTAGACCCCTATTATCTAAATGACTACAACCACAGATAATGTGTTGGAAGTTAGTTTTTTCTTTGTTTTTATTTTTTTTGAAGGGGCTTGACTTCAGGATTAACTTTTTTAGTGCTTTGGTCTTTCGTAATAAACTTCAGTAGGATGAAATCCAGTGGTTGCTCTTATGATACTCTAAATATTTCATAGGTTCTGCTGCAAGAGGTCATTCTGAATTCCAATCACAAAAAAATGGCAATTTCTGTATGCTAGCTGCTTTATCTAGTTGTTGATTAAGCCATTATGCTCTCCAGAACAACTACTAGACATGTTGGGGAACTTATACACATGCTTCACTAAATCCAGACATTTCCATGCAAGGCAAATCTCAGCTTACTACTTCCAGTATGCATTACGTAGACTTCAAGATTGTGCAAATATAGAAATAAAACAATGAAACATGAAAATGAGTCACTCTGAAGATTTGCATATCCCTAAAGTACTACTACATAGTAGGAGGAATGCTAGACAATTGCAATTATAGCATCTGTGCAGACATACTACACTTTACATTACAGACTGAGCCAGCCCAATATTGGAGAATCTTAGTAGAATTTGACATTAGCAGTTAAAATAACAAAATAATATTTTTGAGAAAAAACAAACAAAAAAAAACCAGCAGAATATGCCTTTTAAAAACTGCAGACAACATAATTGCTCTCCTATTTGCAGAGTTGCTGTGGATGATAATACTGTGAGCAGTAAGATTCTCCGGTATCAGTCATATGAAGAGGCTTCTGACTGAAATATGTTGCTGTATCAGAGTCTCATGACAGTAACATGCCTTAGATGATGCCATCAGTTGTTGGCAAGCACTGCTCATCCACCTCATTTGCTTTTGTTGCTCTTCTTCAAGTCACTGTCTGATTTAAAGAGTGCGTCTTTCTGCCCCAGCTGGTCAGAAAGCCACAAACAAATAAATCATTTAAAAAAAATCATACATTGTAATTTCTGGGCATTTTTTCTTTTAGATTGTGTCTCTCACAGAGGACATGCACCTCAGATGAACATTTCAGACCCCTCTATGATTTATAAGTGGGAGAACTTGCAAAGTCACAAGGTGTTCAAATACTCATTTTCCTTAATGTAAATCAGCAAATTTCTAACAGGGTTAATTTCTTTCTGCTTTTCGTTCCGAGCTAAACCATAGTTTTATTGACAACATTGCCTCTGGCTTTATCTACTGCTTTGGAAAAGAGCTTAGCTTATCTGTACTATTTTGAATATTTTTATACTCTTCAAAAGCATTTCCTGCTAAACTAATAAAGCTTGTTCACTTGAACTCTTGGCCTAGAGTTCCAACTAGCTAATATAGTTTATTGTCATGTCACTTCTTTGCTTGTGAAAATTGCATCCAGTGATTTGTTTGTTAGGGAAACCCACATTCTTAAGATCTCATTGACATCCATCCCCAACTTTAGGGAAAACACAGGAAGACACAGAGTGTGACCAACTCAATTTGTCGATTACTTTATTATTAGTTTGAAGCAGAATTTGAAACTGAAGCTAAAATTATCTTAAGTCTACAGCCTTTGAAATATTCTACACTGGGTTTATAAGTCTTGAAATTGGCTAAAAAACAACAACAATTAAACTGCAATCATGTCACTTTACAGCCTGATCCAGAAATTTGAGTTTCGTTTCTATGATTTCCAAACAGTAAGTGTTTCCTCTTCTTCTCTGTTATGTTTTTCTTCTCAAACTGATTCAGTGCCACTGGGAGATAAGCCACTTACCTCAAACCCTCCCTGCTCCACACAAGGTTAGAGCCGCTGATATTTTATTGAAACACCTGTGTGGAATCTGCAAACCCATGTTTAAAACCTGCATTTAACCTTACATTTAGATGTCATAATGCAGGCTACAGATTAGTGATGTTGCTTGTAATGTGTCATGTTCGAGAACCTAACAGGCAGATCTGCCTGACACTCTCCTGCCTGTTTCTCACTGTGTGTGCGTGCGCCTGAGAGCCTGACTCTAAGTGGCATGCTCATACATGTGCATGCACACAAACACCCCACCGGTGGAAACACAATCACCCTAACCTCAAATCTCCCCTTAAGATTCATGAATAAGGCAGCTTATGTTGTTCAACGTGAGGACAGTGCTTTAAATCCTGACCATAGGGACACGGTTGTGTGCCAGCTCCATGGTAACAAAGTGACACAGTGCTCCCCAGAAGACTCAGTGGCATATTGATTATTATGGGATGTGTCTTTGCTTACTGGATTAGGACTTAACACACCTCGGTTTTCGATTCAGAAGCTGGCCTGCAGTTATGTATGTTTTTTGTTTTTTTTCTTTGCCTTCAGAGTGCCTCACTTTTAAAGGCGAGATAAAGCCGGGGACAGTTAGAGTTTGAGATTTATTCTATAGCCAAGCTCCAGGGATGATAAGAAAATTCTTTCTCTGTATTATTCTGCTGTGATGCCCTTCACAAGGTCTTCTCAAATTTTTTCTGTTAAAACACTTCACATACAGAGATTTCAGTTTGCATCCAATTATTGTTTAATTCAAAATTAAACTGCAAATCATGCCTGTAGGCTGAGAATGAAAAAAAAAGGTTGTTTTGTTTGTATTGCCGTTACTATCTGGAAAAGGGTCAATGCACCTGCTGGTTGTGTCTAGCCCCATTAGCCTGACTACTTGAGGGGTGGAAGCCCTGCTGCGTTTAGCAGGATGACTGATAGGTTTGCACCTTCCTGCCCTTCCAGAAAAAAATGACCGCAGTGTGTTTTTCTCCTGTCTGTTTGATCCCAATACTAGGGCCCTTGTCTACGGCTTCACCAGACTCATGGTGCTTCTGAGGCGAGCAGCAGATGGAGAGTTCTCCCTCACTGACTGCCTCCTGTTTGGTGCAATCATGTCAGCCACTGATCCTGGTAGGTGAACTACAGACAAAAATTTCACATCAAAGTTATTTTCCTTTCTACCAGCAGAACTCATCTGGCTTCATGCAGGTATGCTCCACACATCCCACCCAACAAGTGATTTAGATGAAAATAGGAAATGATTTTCTTTAAATATGTACAACAAAATACTTTTATAAAAAAATACATTATAAATAATCCATTGAACAAAATCGACTCAAATGCTGTAGGAATAAACAACAAACAAACAATGAAAACTGTAACCTACTCCAAAAAGAGATGCTAAGGGCTCCCAACCGCTGGACTTAATGTGTCTACATGTGTTGGTGCAATCTTCTTAGAGAATCAAGTGTAGAAATAAAGCAGATAGCAAATTTGTTGCAAAAAATAGAACAGATTGCTCTCCTATGTGAATTTCTCTCTGTGTTCTCAAGGACATGTTCAGCATTATTCAATAAAGTGACTGTGACAATGATGAAGTTCTTGCTGCAGATGAATTATTTATACCAATAAGTGATCTCGGTGAGCATCAAAGGGAGGATTTAAATTGTGGTTCAGCTGAGAGGCAATACTTTTCAATGCCACGCTGTGCTCATTCGCTTTGACCCCAGTGCACTCGTCACTTTGATTAGACTCAAACTGAATGCCTAAAATTGCAAGGCCTATAGGCTCAGCATTGTGCTGTCAAAATATAAAATCAAACCCCAGACCCTCTGATTTGTAATTCAGCATTTTAATGTCCAATCCTGCTTATGTTGGCTTAAATGTGTGGCCTTCAAGAAGATTTAGCAATTAAGCAATACTGCAAGCTGCATATAATCAGATATTACACAATTTAAAAAAAAGCAAGGAATAAGAGCTTTCTTACCTCTTAAACCTTCCCTACATTTTAATAGATGTAATGGGATTTTATGCAATAGACCATCATGAAGTATTGTTTAATAAAGAAGTAGAATGGGGATGAATCATGATTTTAAAACGTAACTGATCTTCTCCCAACATAAAAAGAGAATCACACAAGTCCAAACAATCTAGGACATGGCTGTTCACATAATGGTAACTCTAGAAAAGCTGCAGAGATCCATATTCAGGTGGGAGGATCAACAGGACAGCTATTTCTGCTCTCAATAAATCTGCTTTTTATGGAAGAGCATCCCACCGGCATAATGCTTGGCTTAAAGTGCAAACTGCACATAATTTTTAATACACCATCCTCAGAGAAACTCGGTTCTGACAGCATCATGGTGAGGGGAGGGAATATGGAGTTCATGGGAAGATGAGTTCAGCAACATACTGAAAATGATTACATTTACATAGTATGAATACTTCTGCATGGTTTTATATTTTTACATAATAATTAGTTTCAGGCAATCTAAGGTTCAATAACATCTAGCCATGACGTGTAGCTCACTGCTTCTCTGAAACTCAGTTATTCAGATTTATGTTGTGCAGCTTGTGGAGATGTGGATTAAGCATCTCCGTTTATTAAAAACTCTTTCAAATTCATGCAGTTAAAAAAGTTTCAATATTTTCATAGCTTTTTAACATTTACTATGCATGAGGCATCTTTGTTTTAAGAGTAAACTGAAATCCATGCTTTAAGAAGCCGGTTTTACACTGTGGTGTCTGAATACTTTAGCTCAGCTGAGCTACTTCTTAATTGTGTGACAATTGTATTCATTAATATATTTCTTTTAGAGTTGCAGTCATAAAGAACAGTGTTTAGGACATGCTGCAAATGCCTCTTCTACAGTGTTTGTTTACAATCGCATGTCAGTGAAAATTATTTATTAAAATAATAGTGAAGTCTCCAAACACTAAAATACCATAAAAATGGAATATCTCTGACAAACACCCACAGAATTCTCATGTCATCTTAAATACTAACCAGGATTATAACAACATAAATCAATATGGGTCTTCACAAGACAACTGCTTGTTCAGCTGCACTCTCAGGCCAGTTTTTCTGATTGTGTGGCACTTGCATGTCATAAATTCGCTATGCAAAAGCATTAACCTTGACCAAATAGCTTCCATTCTCTCTGAATAAAATCTTTTTCAGGATCCTTGCTGTAGTTTGTTTCATTTCTTACTTTTAAGCACAAAGCTGTAAACAGCCTTAAGCAAGTTTTCAGATACTTGGCATAGATTTTTGCATTTTCTTCAAAACCAGTGCCTGTGTAGTTTGTGAAATATTTTTAAATAAACATACTATTGAAAAAGGTTCATAGGGGAGAGTTAATACCTTAAATATGTTGTTGGCAGTAGGAACAAATACACGTTTAAATCTGCTTTAAATGTCATAGAAACCCAGCTTTGATGCTCCTTTTTAATATGCATCATTTTATTTTACAAAATAACCACTTTCTACTCAGTCTAACTGTTATTCCCCAATTTAAATATAGGACCAATAGTTCAGATCAAAAACTTGGAGGCCTGCTGTGCTCCATTTGTAGCTTCAGGGGTGATAACTAAAGGTCGGTGAAATTCTCACTTAACATGAGTTAAGTTCCGCAGTTCTTCCTTTCATCTTAGAGTTCGTATTTTTATAATTCTCCTCACATGAAATAGTGCACACATACATTTTTATCTGGGCACTGCAGACTTTAAAATAATACCAGATTGTAACATTTTTTAGCAGTACAAATGTAGTTTCCCTTCTTGATTATTACTCATTGAAATAGATTTTTGTTTTGTTGTCAACAGACAATCATCCCAAACCCAGTTCAAAGCTGGCAAAAAAACAAAAAAAGGAAAGGATTAGGTCCTTAAACTTTATAAAAAAAATTATGAAGTGTGTCAAAAAGTTAAGCCAGTGCCAGGACACCAACCAATTAAAATGAGCTCTCCAATTTCTGCCAGCTCTTTTAATCTGCCAGGAGTCTGCCAGAAGTTTTTTGATGACATCGAAGAGTGTATAGTTTCTCTGCAACTTCCTAAGAAGCAGTTCAGTAGATGAATGAAACCGTATAGTCACTCCAGTTTGAATAAAAGCATCAAAACATTCCGAATAATTGGTGAATGCTATTTTTTTTTCATCAGAATTGCAATTTATTCAGGGCTAGTGACTTTGTAGTATCAAACAGCATTGAACATGTTAATAAGTCCATGGCGCAGCTTTAATTAAGGAGAGATACCATCCTTCTTTAAAACCTCAGTAGGGCCACAAAACATAAACTACACCACATGAGGACATTCAGCCTTAAAAAACTCTGACCCAAAAGTTACTTTGAGCAAAATTCACAATATAACATGTATTGGATTGCTATGGAGATTAAGAGACTTCATTTTTGTAAGGTGATCAGTTAATATGGGTTATCACTTACAAATCATCCCTGTGTTCCCACACTGAACTGTTGACCATTGACGTTATCGTTAATTTTCCAAAAATGTTTCCATCAAATATACATACATTTTTTTTGATGTAGCCTCTTCTGAAATTGCAAAATGATTGCCCATCAGAAATCTTTAAAGCTTGTATTTATGACTTGACCAGTCAGAGCTTCACACATTATAGCAATTTTTCTCCACTGTTTATTTTGTATCACTTTCAGCGTCGTCTGCCTAATTTACTCAAGTAAACAAGCAGATCCGCTGCTTTTTTGCTTCACATAGTCACAATCTTTGTGACAATGGATGCTAAACGTCTACATCTGGGATAATTTGACCTGATGAGACTACTTTCCACCCTCTCAGCTGTGTTATGTCGGCAATAATTGTATACCGTCTACCTCATGGTGTTGCTGTGGAAACTGACAAACACTTGACAACTGTAGGACTGGTTGCCTTGACTACACTGCCACCCTGTTTGTGTGAGAAGAGACGATAGTTTTTTTCTTCTTCTCTTTTTTTTGTCTTGTCGCCGTCTTCTTGTTTTTGTCCATCAGCATAAGTGTTACACAACATGCTCGCACCAGTCAGGCATTATAGGAGCGGTAAGATGGAACAATTCCATCTTACCCTGAACTCAAAAGAACTCTAAGCCCATCAAACACCAGAGAGCCACATCTGTCAAAATATGTCTGAAGGCAGTTGTCTCACTATTGTCAGTCTGCTCATTTCCTGTCTTTCTTGCCCCTTGCTGGCCTGTCATTTCCCACAGGGCCAAACATTACTGTTAGAACTGACTCTTTATTCAGATCACAAACTTCACTAAGGCTAATTCTGTGGATTACTTCTGCACTATGGTCCCATCAAATGGGATTTGAATCCACTTGGAGCCTATTTCATCTTAAAAATCACATTATATATTACCAGCATAGTACTATAGTAGGCCGCATGCATCTGCATCCAGTGTAATAATAGTCTGAAATGTAATATTACGTTATTAGTATCACAAAACGTCCATTAAAGGATACATTTTACAGTTGATGCATTGTAGAAAATTAACCAACTCATTGTGAAGTGTACAGACAAGTCTAATTAGGGTCAAGATTCCTTCTGAAACATTTAGGTCACCCTCTAGTGCCAAACAGCTTACAACATCCACAAGCACAACTGGCGAAATGTGTCAAAAGCTTGTTTTTCATATATATATTTTAAGATCTGTCTTGTGTTTGTCACTTTGGATAAAATCTGAGAAATTTGTATTTTCCCCTGCACATCAAAATACCAGTAGAATGAGCGTAGCATCCGGCATCTTAAAGACTTCATAATGTCCTGGTAGCATTAGCTTTCATATTCTAGGTCCTCTGAGAGGATGCAAAATTATCTTCATTATGTAGTGGGGAAAAAATCAGCTTGATCATACTCATTTTCACAATTTTGGCAAATAAAAATCACAAACATCAATGTATTGTATTGACATGTAGACTAATTTGAATATTAAATTAAAATGAGACACAGCTTTTTATTGTTTCAAATTTTTTGTTAGCAAAACCTATTTGTATTTAGCTGTTTTACCCCTAATAACCATAAATGACATCCTACTGTGTGTAGCTTGATATCAGTGCAATTATGGATGTTCTGCAAAAGACTAAAGAATACAAGTCAAGGATAAAATTGTGAAAAAGTTTAAGTCATGGCTGGGTTATAAGACATTCTGACTCATTTTAAATATCTCTGAAGATGAAAAGATAATGGCACAACTGCAAACCTTTGAACACTTAGCTATTCACCTCCACTGGCATTCCAGGCAAGGAGGAGGTCCTCTTTTAATTACTTGCAAAATACTTGAAAGAACTTTAACACTGCACAAGAGCTTGGAAACACCACTCGTACTGTAAAACATAGTGGTGGCAGCATGATGCTGTTGAGGTGCCTGGCAGGGAAGCTTGTCAGAATTGATGGGAAGATGGGAATAAGGCTGTTAGTAGACCTGTTACAGGTTGCAAAAGACTTAAATCAGTCCAGAGAGTTATTTAAGATGTGAAGCCATTTGTGCATCTTGTCAACAATGTTCTCTTTAGACAAACTGTGCTGAAAAAATAATGTAATTCCTATTAGATTCCTGTAAGCTAATAGCACAGTGGCCAAGAGGAACATCATCTTGGTTTAAACACTGTTTATAATTTACATCTACAATCCTATGGATACCTAACATCATTATTCAAGACATACCCATGTGGGAATCTCAACTATGTACCAATGAATGTTAAGCAGCGAGTGCATCATATCAAAGCAGGGAGTTGTTTGCCAGCAGTTCATCCACATCAGGTTATAATTAACGTCTTCTGCATGTTTTAATCAGCTGATTCTAAAGCTCAAGCCTTCTTTCATTCTTCCATTAGATGCATCCTCTCATTCCAAGGCTTCTAGTTGTTGTAAAGAACACATTTATATTCATGTTTTGCAAGTAGAATCACATTGTAGAACAGAAACCTGTGCCGCTCTAACAAGAAAAGTGTAATATGCTGTATGGTCAACATAAACACAATCAGAACATCTGTTGTTTTGCAGTTGCACTTTGTTGCCAATAGGTTTAGTTTTATTCCATTTTTTAGGTATGTGCTCTGACTTCCAAACACATTTGAAGCATTGACAAAGGACCATTAATACCCAAATTATCATAAATCAAACACAAACAGCATTTATTAGCGATGCTAAGCCTTTAGTTCACACACCAGATCTTGATTCGCAATTCCAATTTGTTGCTGAAATCCTGTTATTTATTTATTTATGTTTTGTGTGGTCATACATGCTTTGCATAAAGAAAAAATAATAATAAAAAATAAAGATAAAAATACTCCAGATAACATACTTTTCAGTCTTCACCAAGAGTACATGTATGTAAAATGTATATTTATAAAAGTTCCCAGAGCTGCAAATCAGCTGAGTTTAACTTATATATGCAGAATATATATATTATTAATTATATAAAATTATAGATTCTATTTATGCCTAGGTTTTACTTTGCCACTTTAATGTCTCAGTAAATGTCAACATTAAAGAATAAACTGACCAAACTCATCAACCGATACTATAAGAGAATAACTGATCCAAGAATTTAATTTCTCGGTACTTAAACATAATTACTAGACTTTATGATGGAATGTGTTTTTCTTTGATCTTTGCCTGAACACTGTTTGCTTTGTTAGTGTTTCAGACAACTTCTCTTTCCTTATCACAATGATTTCACATTTTCCATTAGTTTTTATTGTGAAATTGTGATGTTACTGCCATTGCTTTCTCTGCTTATTGCGGTAGAGTTCCCAAATTACACTGCATCTTTGCAGAGTAATTTAGTTAATTACTTTTTCCCTTTACACCTGTGTTGTTTTAGTGTCCTGCACTAAAACAACAATTAAGGGCAGATTCTGTTTTGTTTTTTTGTTTTTTAAAGTCTCAGTCCTTGGGCTGTTGTCGGACCTACCTGTGGATTCGGATTTGCACGCCCTGCTGTTTGGCGAGAGTGTCCTTAATGATGCCGTGGCCATTGTCTTGACACAGTAAGTATTCTCTGTGTTAGTCTTTTCCCTTTCAATGAGTAAGTTTCCCAGTTTAATTGTGTGGGTGAGAGGAATTTGCCAGCTGGCAGCATGGAGGCGGACGTGTAGCGGTGGAGGGTAACTGAACGGAAGCTGCCAGCTGTACAGGAGCGGTATGATTGGGTAAAGTAGCATGACCGCCTTGATGGTATGCAGTGGGCTACATAAGCAAGTTGCCTCTGTCGATGTCAGCATCTCATTAAAGAAGTCAGGTCCTGGAGTTACAACACACTCCCAGGATAACAAACCAGGCTTATGTATGTGCTGTCAAATTCAGGCTAAACTCAGCATAAAATCAGTGGAAGCTCAACGGATTATCCATGATAACCTTTCCTTGTCCATGCAGTACAATCCTCTCATTCTTTTCCATCTGCTGTCCCATCTTTTTCTTGCACTGCTTTCAAATATGCATTCAGATGCTTGGCAGGGTTTGTCTGGTATATTTATACAAAGCCAGTCTTAAAGATGAGCAAACAGATGGCTAATTGGAGATAGAAATAATTCATAATTCACCTACAGAGAAGTATATAATGAATCCAATCCATTTTTAGATTATTGCATATAATGAGTTGTCACGGTATGTGCTGTACAGCACTGTTCGCTTGCTAACTTAATGTGATAATGGAAGATGCTAATTCCTGAGCATCTTCCCAGACAAAGCTGCATAGTGCCACATTTGTTCATAAAGTGGCGTGACTGTCCCTCATGCCACCTCTCGTCACTTGACTGCTGTGCTGAGGCTCCTCCACACAAAGCTGGACCTTTTTACAGAGTTGTGTCGATTCCTGGCACCAGATTTCTAACAAGCTCGGGAAGCAGCTCACTGATGTGCCCTCTCCCAGGCGTGTTACCCCACCACTCAGGCAGGTCCGGCATTTAAAAATGTTGAGGTTGGGGCCTAAAGCGAGCAGCACCAAACCTTTGAACACACAGTCTTTAGTATTGTACGCTAAAGAAATTGACTTGCGGCCAAATTAAGTGTGCTAACCCAATCGGAGTCTTTATTTCCACAGAGGGGGTAATAGATTTTCCTCTTTTCATTTGCAGAGCTCATTAGTGACAACTTGATTGATTTCTCCCCTCCTGACATGGAAGTAAAAAATGCTGTGCTGTTACTGGCTCGTTTCAACTTTAAGCTACGAGTCAGACCTTTCTGTAAAATGTATAAAATCAATCAAACCCATGTTAAGTACTTTTTGTCTCTTTTAAAATAACATGGCATGTTAAGATTTTGTGTTTGTTTGGCTGTTAAGGTGTAAATATAATGAAGGAATGTAAAAGCAACCCTCCCGAACCCAGCTACATGCATATTCCTCTGATAACTTTACATAAGCCTTAAACTAACTGATCAATATTTTAAAAAGCACTTGACTTTTCTTTTTCCCCTCTCCATTTACATGGTTTTAATTAAATTCCTTATTCACAAATGTCTACTTGTATGTATGACCACAACCAAAATGATTGAGCCATGTTCAAAAACACCACACAGATGTTTTAAGAAAAACTTGATTACTAGCAATTTACAGAACATAATTCTGGGACAGATTTCTAATTCCAAAAACATCAAACTTCTGATGTTTTTGAAAGGCCCTGACCACCCAACACAAGTTGTACATGAGTCAGGCAGATTTCTCTTCAAGAAATAGAAGGATATGAGAACAGAAGTCAAAATATACAGAATCTTGTTTGCTAACTTAATGTGATACAGGTAGAATATGGCATTGAAAATGAACATGAAACAATCATACAGAAAATTTCAAAAAGGAATGAAATAGAAATTTTTTACAAGTTGAAGCTTTGAAGGTTGTTCTCTATGCCATACACGGCAGCAGCACTTATGACTTGGGGGACATCAGAGTGAAACTTTGACTTTAAAGCTTAAGCTTGAAATATATTGCTACTGAAATGCTTCAGAATCAACCTCAGTTTTTTTTCCCATAATTTAGTCATTGGCCAAACATTAATGTCAGCAAATGTTAGTTGATAGGATAAGTTTTTGAGGCCTCTTGTGAGGCCTCATGAACTCAAATAAAAACAAAGCATTTTTAGTTTTCTTACTGTAGTTTTATGAATTCCTGCAGCAGAAATCCAAACTTCATTACTGATTTTTCTTGTTTGTTTTTATTGTTGGCATACATTTCTCAAAAAAATATACCACAAAAAAATCCTGTTTACATATTCATCTATTTTTAAGGCCATTTACTTTACAGATTTTTGTGATCAGTAATATGAGACCTTTTATGAGTTTTACCTTACTCAGGAGTCCGAACAGGGTTGCTATATGTGGTCTGCTGTGGTTAATGTAATCATGTTATTCCACAAATGCAGCCGCCTCTGTCGGTTAGTTGCATGGCTGCTTGTCTCTGCATGCTTCACAGTTATTGCCTTCTTTCCTCTCTCACACACACACGCACGCACTCCCACGCAGTCAGTCAGATAATTTCTCTTTCCCACCTTCTTGCCTGCGAGGGTTATTTTGCACTTGGTGACTTGCATGTTGAAGTCTCACATCACTCCAACAGAGTAAATATGATAGCAGCACATATAACGTTATGCTGCTATTTTTATGATCAGCAGCAGTGAACCCTTTCTCTTTCCAACACTGCTCTGAAGTGTTTGTGAAGGAAATCATCTGGAATGTGTTGTTTTTCTGAAGCAGACTATACTTCCTTAGAAGGCCATGTGTTTACAAGTGACTGCAGGAAACTACACTTGGAGGGCTTTGTTCAGCATATTAACATTGGAAATATATGTTCTCTGCTGCAGACTACTTCACACTGAGTAATTTTCCTAATAACTGCACTTGACTCAAACAATAAACTATATAATAGAGCACTTACAACAACCATATTTTACATTACCTTGATAAACCTTCTGACTTTGATATGTTTTTTTCACATTAAAGCCAAAAGCTCCTCTGTTTGTAGCTCATTTTATGCAATAGACCAAAATGACTGTAGCTCATTTATTTGAAGGAAAAAAGAACAGTGTCTGGGCCAATCTCACACATGATTGATCAAAACTAGCAGTGTCAAATTTAATCACAGAAGGAGCCAAGACATGAAACATGGACTATATCACTGGGAGATTTAATTAAAAAATTATTTTATGCAAGCAAGAAGCTTCATTCTAATCAATGAAAAGCTTTAAATTCCTCTAGGTGGTAAGTTAATGGTGACCCAAATTTTTAACTCCATCTTTATTTCTCTTATTTATAGATAGACAGAGTTGAAACCAGATATTTACATACACAGAATAAAAAGACACAAACACATTTATTTCTCACTGTTTGAAGTTAAATCAGACCAAACATTTCCTGTTTTAGCTTAGAATTACCAAAATTATTTCTTCTTGCTGAAAAGCCAGAAAATTAGACAAGAACATTTTGTAGTAGTTTGTAATTACTTGGCACTGTGGAAAGTGGCATAAGCTTTCTTGTTGTATCTAACTCCCAGAAAGTGAAGCTTGTGTTGCACTGTCTTCAGCTGAAGTCGCCATTGTGGTGCATTATAAAATATGCAGTGTTATTGGTGTGACTGCATATTTGTAACCTTGTGGTGGGCTATATTTGATCAATGAAATAATCTTACTGCCTGGATTTGGCCTGTGAGCTTTGACCTGATCTAAGCCTTTCGATTGTAGCTCTCAGGCTGAATTCTTTGGCTCATTGTCCTGCTTGAAGATGAACATTTGACCCAGATTCAACTCCTCTACTGCCTCTCACAGGTTTTCTTCTTTGATAGCACTGGATTTACAAATTCAGTTAAAAATAGAGGTCAGAAGTAGATGTACTCAATTTGCTAATGAGGTAATTTCTCAAGGCAAGTGGTTGAACTCTATTATATTTTGGGGTATGGCAGTGAAATGGAGTGAATACAAATTCCCAGCACACCTTTGAGAGTTTAATTTGTAAAATTTATGTATAAGTTTCCTTCCATTTACCAATTATGTACATAAAATCCCATTAAAATAAATTGAAGTTTGTGGAATAGAAAGTTTTTCATTGCTGTAATTTCTCCTTGCATGTTTTTTTCTTCCAGTGCCATCACCTCCTATGACCAGATGGGAACAGGAAACGTCTTTCAGACACCTGCCTTCTTCCGCTCTGTTGGTTTCTTCGTTGGAGTGCTCATTGGCTCCTTCCTCCTTGGATTCATATTCACAGTAATAACAGCCCTCATATCCTTTCATCCCCTCCTCTTCCCTCCACCCCAGACTCAATTATCACCTCGGCATCCGCTGCAGTAAATCTACTTCCTCGACTCTTTAACTGCCCCCCCTAACAAACCCAATGCTGCACCCCTTCATCAGCAAAAGTAACAGAATGGGGTCTAAAGTGCTGCTGTGGGTTTGATGGTCTCAGAGATGTCGTGAATCACACCAAAAGCAAGTGATGAAATTTCGACTCGTGAGGCTGTCCTGCATCTTTCTCTCTCTCTCTCTGATTTTTAGTTAATTAGATTTTAGAGTGAAAAATGTGGAGGTGTCAAGTGGGGAGCTCATTTCTTATGTGAAGGGACTGATGTTTGTGTGCAGGTAACCAACAAATTGAACTTTTTATTAAAATTTAGGTGACAGCAGCCATAACATAGTATTTTCCTTCATGCCCTCTGTTCAAACACAAGGTCCTTATAGACTGCTTATGGCAAACACAAGGTCATTAGCACATCCATATGTTTTGTTTTAATGCTACGAGGCATCATGAGGGAAATAAGCAGTTAGCATCTTATTGTAGTCTCAATAACAGAGATCCCAGTCTGGGTTGCATCTAACAAGGAAATGTAAGGAGCTTATCTTTGAGATTATTTTTTAGATTTAATTTTCAGACCTGAAGGAAGCTTCGTCATTACCATAATAGTTGCTGCAGACGTAGTTACTTAAAGCCCCTCATTATTGCCAGCTTCCTACCTTCTCTTTTAGACCGCACTCATCTGTACTATACCTACTCTGAGACACTCTCACAGGTGTGTTGTTTCCTGTATCTCACTATATCCTGAAAAAGCTGTTCTATTTCACATGTAACACTTAGATCTGACAGAAAAGAAGCAATATCCACAAAGCAAAGTTTTAGCTTCCATCAGCTTGCCAGGAAGGTTTCATTGTATTTATAGTGACATGACAAGTGTTGATCTTGTGGAAGAAAATCCTTCTTCATTTGATGAAATGAAGTTTTAAACTGGATATTTTGATTTTTCCATTAGAGAACTAATGATAAAATCTCCTCTGCAAATGAAGAGCTCAGAATACTCACATATTCATGTAATCAGTTGAAACATTGGGTTTCCCAAAACCCAGTGTTTGCTTCTGTGAAAAACCAAACACATAGTTGGCCAGGAAACTGAGATGCAGAATATGTGGGAAAGTGATGTTAAGAGGGGGGAAAAAAATTCTCATTCAGGCCCGGTTCTTATTGTATATGGCAGGTCTCCAGGCTTATTGAGCACCGACTGCATTAGCTTGTTATTTGTAGGTACAGCACTGCAGTAATTCTCAGCCTCCTGTCTGCTGCATTGGAATGTACATGTACAAATTTGCACTGCAGATGCACCAGAAACTTCAGCTTATTGGAAAAGGTGTAAAAACTGCATGATTATCATCTTGTAAATCTTTAACACTCTCTCCACCTCACCAAACTCACCCGACTCCATGAGAATCCTCTGCTGGAAACATCAATCTTCTTCCTCCTGTCCTGGAGCAGCTTCCTCTCAGCAGAAGCCTGTGGACTGTCAGGTGAGCATTTCTTCACTTCTGTTACTCGTGTGTCTGTGGCCATATCGGAACCGTGTTGGTGGCTGACTGCTGAATAAAAATTCTTTCAGTGGGTCTCAACCTTCACCATCCCCCTAACCGCATCTCCCTACCCCAACCCCCAGGCATCACTTCTAAGCTGCATGCACTAACTTGCATGCGACCCCTCAGCATCAGTCGCACATCAGTTGTTTTTTAATGCAGAAGCCTGCACTGTGCCTATTATATCTCTCCTCAATAAATCTTTGATGTATTTCACTGGGATTTTACGTGACAGACCAAAACATAGTAGTACATAGTTGCGAAGTATAAGGAAAACCATACATGGTATTTGAATTAGGTCTCACTGAAGTGAAGTCTAATAGAACCACATTTTGCTTCATGTGTTTTTGGCAACTGAAAACAGCAAGTTTCAAGCGTTATCGCAGGTTCTCAGTTGCATTTAGTTGTGGATTTTGACTGTATCATTCTAGACTATGAAGATGCTTTGACTTAAACTATCCCATCACTCTAGTTGTGTGATTAGTGTTGTTATCCTGCTAAAAGATGAGCCGATGATTTTTGCTCACTGGTGTTCTCTAAAAAGCCTCTGAGGCCTTTAAGAACATCTGGATATTACATACAGCTGCACTATATTTATTAAATAGCTGTCTTCTATAAGGTTCCACTTGATTTAATTTAAGGCAGAGATAAAAAGCATCCCCTACATCTAAGATTTTTATTTGTGAAACATTTCAAGAAGGATGAATGCTTTTGTAAGGTACTGTGTAAAAATTAATGCATTATTGGAAAACTATATTGCACAGTCTGGTCTTCATGAAAATGCACTCAGCTTCTTTGTGGTCAATATATAAAAATGTAATAATTTAACATCTGTTTTGTTCTGAATATTAATGCAAGTTTTCCTCAAAATCTACTTCAATGTAAATCTGAGTTTAACGAGGAACATTGGAACAATATTCTGCTTTGGAATTGTTTGTTTGTTCCATTTAGAAGAATAAGTCTTGGCTTTGTTGCCTGATATTGTCTTCCTCTATGCTGATCACAAAGATGGGGCTTTAGAATATTAATTTAGTATTTGTATTCAACAAACACTGTGGTCTTGTTCCTCCTGCCGTGGCTTTATCAGAGGGATACCACTGAATCAGCTGATGAGCTGGCTCTTGCTTGGCAGTAGTCTTTGTGGCCTGTGGAGGAAGAGAAGATGGTTTCTAATGAAATAGCTTGACCTTTATCTATTTGGCCCTGTTTGTGACGAACACCATCCTGCATACTGCCCAATGAGGTACATACACACACACGCTGCAGAAACGCATATGTTATACTTCTTAAGATCTGAAGAAATTCTGTATTGAAGAAGAAAATGTGAATTTTATTAGGTGTTTTTTTTCTCTCTCTTTTTTTTTACCACCACAAACTGGAAACTACCCTGTCCTTGTTAATGAGCTTAATGTAATAGTCATCTCAGAGGGCTGCAGAGGCTGTATCTCGTTCTCAGGATGAATAAGCATGAGTTGAGTGGGAGCTGGTCGTTCTCCCTGGTGTTGTCTGGTTATTGAAGCACTTTCTGTTTTCAATAATTGCTTCAGTTTAGGGGGAGGGAGATACCTAATGACCCTTAACTCTACAATTATTAATCTTACATTCCTTGCAGCTCTTCATTATTGGATACATGCTGTCTATTTCCAAATTCCCTCCTTGCGTTTTTGTAGATAGTGGATGAAATGTTACCACTGTCAGTATTAAATAAACCAATGAAGAATGTAAACTAAAAAGGATCAACAAACAAAGCAGAATTGTGGTTGAAAACACATTCTGAACACAAATTGCTGAAAATAGCATACAGGGGCAGGTCAGTGTGTAATGATTTTATGGTGGCTGGTAAATACAGAATATTTGTCCAGCTTTAGTGATGTGCTATTTGCTCTGTTGGTGCTTTTATTGCATACATGTTGGCCAGTGAAAGTGTTGCTCCCCATCAGAGTAAATTCACGTGATTCCTTTTTTTATGTGATTCTCCCTCAAAGAAGTGAGATGAAAAAAGTATGAAATTCAATCCCTGCAACAAAACAAGCATGTCCTGTGAAGCAGCACCCTTCTTTCTTTGTGATAAGCTTCAGATTTCTGTTCACCGAGAGGGGCTTTCTGAGTGAAACCACCATTTTTATAAACTTGTACTGCACTTGTTTTTTTCTTTCTTTTTTGACTTTCTTTTCAATTATTGCTAAACGGTCGCTGCAGTTTAGCTAGCTGCCTCAGAGGTAACAGAAGCCTACGCTAACAGGCCAGCGTTTCAAACCTCAAAAAAGAGATGTTTGTTTGTTCATATCTGTTCACAACTTATCAAACAAGGAACCAGTATTGAACTTCAATGTATATCATTAAGTTGGAAGGGCAAATTCTAGGTTGTGAAACAATATTACAGTCTTTAAACATTTTATAAAGATGCTCAATCCATTATCTCAAAATGAGAGAGGATGGTATAGACGTAAATCTTTCAAGACATTTAAACTTACACACAAGGAAAGTATTGATGAGAGAAGCATCAAGGATGCTGGCAATAACTTTAAATGAGCCACAAGTCATTTATTGGACAAAGCAAAGGAAATAAGATGTTGTGGTCAGATGTACCAGTGTGGCACACGTCTGTTTTTTCGCAACATATTTATAACAATTTATTGTTTTCATTTAACTTTAGAGTTTGCACAACTTTGTGTTGATCTGTTTCTATCGTAATACCCAATTAAATACATAGACAATTTTGGGATTAATGCTGTTGCATGACACTGTAATGTTTGAATTACATTTTACCAAATGGAAATTAGATAGAGATCTAATTTTAGGAGTGTAGATAAAATTTTAACATGCATTTAGTCATTTTGGCCTCCCATCTATTATTCTTCAGTACAGTCCTACAGGATGACATTTATAGAATTAGAAATCTGACCCTTTTAGAGAGTATAATATCTGGCGTTTTTATGTTTTCATATTGTGACAAATTCTAAGCATTATATCAGGCTTCTGTCTCTATTTTCTCTTTCATCTGTCCTTTGGTTTTCTGGTTGTAGCCAGGTCAATGCCTGTGTCCAGATAAGAGATTCAAGAGCTATAACTGGCTGAGTATGATAACATGAGCAGGAAGATTGCCCTACCCTATAAATTTCCCAAGAGAACTGTTTGTTATTGTTGCAACTTTGCCAGACCCCAGACCTCTGTGCAAATTTCTAATCTTGGTATAATGAAATGAAACACATAAACATCTCTTTTTTGAAACCACTGAATCTGACCGATCCCCATTATTTTTCCACAATTTGGACCCACAGTAGATTGATTGCACTTTCAGAAGTTTAATCGACTTCATTTGCACATGTTTTGTTTTGTATTTCAGGCATTGTGGCAGTTCTGTTTTGTGGCCTGAGCCAGGCAAAGTACACAAATCTCAATTTATCGCAGAAGGGGAGTACAAGAACCAAACAGGTATATTTATTTCCAACAACTTCAACGAATCTTACTTCCACTTTCAAGGAACATTTTTCAGTTTTGTTCATTCATATGGTATTTTTATGACAGTCTGTTTATCATCCCTGCATGTGGAACCAGATATTAATTTCTATTAGTGTTCTGGTCATCCTGTTGATGTCTGTGGGGCAGACAACCCCCCACCTTATCTGCTTATAAAACCTAGCACAGATGGGGGCCAGCACTTCTGATATACTGAGCTGACAAGCTTCACAGTGGAGCAAATAAATCAAAAGTGTACACATAAACTCATCTGTGCATTTATTATGCATTATCAGTGCCACGGTGCAGCTGTTTATCACAGAAAAGCTTTCTAAAAGGTAGCATGGTTGAAGACCTCGCCTACAAAGTAGACCTGAACTGAGCAGTGTGTTTACTTGGCAGCATGCCTGTATCCATTATTTCATGTTTTATACATGCAGCTCCAGCTGAAATAAAAAAAGGTACAAAGAGAGCATTTGAATAGTGAGTCGAACATATATTCTTTCACTGATGCATCTCTGCTCAAAGCTTTTTTATAGAAGCTTTAAACCAAAAAAGCTTTACGTAATATAAAACATATTTCTTAAGTAATTAATAAAATCTGAATGTCTACTTTATTGTTTATCAATAACATTAATTAATGGCTTTATGAATGGATGAATTGAAAAATGTATTTGTTTTCAATAGTGATAAATGAGATTTGTTGGATGTTTTTATCTGGAAGTATCAAAAGGCTTACCCAACATTCTGTCTTTTTAATGTCCAACATTCTGTCTTTTTGTTTTTCACTTATTTCGACAACCCACATATTTGCAATAAGACTCTCTTGAGTGTAAACCGGAAAACGAATTGACTAAAACAACTCAGCCGTTGAACGTAAAAAGCATCATGCCCTCAGGCTGCAGATTTCTACAGCTGCTTCCTCAAAGGGAATAACGTCAAAACTGAATTTGTCATGTTTTTACAAATCTCATCGTATTTAGTGAGAAGTCCTTCACTGTCAGACTCACATTGCATCTACATAGCATGCAGACAGACTTCCATAAATACTATTATGTGGAAGGAGATGAATTGAGGCTTCATCTCAAACACCAGTGACACCAAGCTGTTTTCTTGGACTGAAATTCTTTGGTGACTTATTATTTGATGTTAATGAACATTGAAACAAAGTGAGTTTAGAGGAACTATTTTAGGATAGATTTATAAAGTGCTCGGGTGTGATGCAAAGATTTTTGCTGATATAAATAAACGTACAGTAGCTGCAGAGAGCCGTTATGAATGTTGCTTTGTGTAACACAGAGACATTAATAAATGCAGGCAGGCAATCTTAAAACATTAAGCAGACAAAAGAAGAATAATAATATAAACAGTCTACAGTTCCATCTGAGCTTTACGATCATTGACATGATGTCACATTAGCTTTATGATTTTAATGATTCATCTGAAGCATTTTTACACCATGGAAGAATATCATATCATGATTTCAGGGTACCAAAAAAGATTTGGGTGCACATGTTTGAATTTATTGTAGACTTTTACTAATCTACATGATGTTAGAATCATGTATGGAATTATCTAATGTAATAAAAATGATCATATTAATAGAAACGGGTAGAAAACATCCGACTATGTGTCATAAATCTATATAATGTGTTTCTCTTACTGAAACAAGTTACTGAAATAAATTTACCTCTTCACAATATTCACCATAAGTTATGGAATATTACAATATAGCTAGACTTTGCATGTAATTTAACTTTGTATAAATTAGATGGAATTTGAAATACTATGAATCATATAATTAAAATTGTATGAATTTAAGATCATACTGCAGATGTATAAATCCACTCCTACAAACAAAATAATTTAATTAAGTGCTATTAATGTCCTTTAGGAGTAGATGTAAAGTTCTGACCCAGTCTGTACCGTAACTCCACTAGCTTCACACATCCCCTCTCTCTCTACATACACTCTCATCTTTCTGACCCTCTCTCTCAAGATTCTTTTAATTCTTTTTTATAATTTGCAGCTCTTTGAAGTCCTCAACTTCCTTGGGGAGATTTTCATCTTTGGCTACATGGGATATATATGGTTTACATTTCATCACCATGCCTTCAGAGCTCTCTTCATCACTGGAGCATTTGTATCCTTTTCTGCAATGCAACAGTCTCTGTTCACCCCCTGCTGTGCAGCCTCTGGATTTCAGTCAGAACTCACTCTGTTTGATTTCTCTCAGTCTGCTGTACTTTGAGACCGATCCCTTTTTGTGCAGTTACTGGAACATCTTTCTTGTTTTCAATTTGGCATCCTGATCATCCCAACAGCCGTTCAAATAAAATAAAGAAGAAAAAAACAACAACCAAATCTTAAGCTGCTCCGAAATGAATTTTTTGACTGCACAGATGGCATTCAGCTGCCTGTCTGTGCTTTAATTCTGCAAATTCACACCCAACAGTACATCTTCACTATAAAATTCCCATAAATTTAAATATTTTATTTATTATAATTATTGTTACGAGCTTTCCATTTGCTGAAAAACAATTGAAAATTGTGCCATATTTCATAAAACTCAGAAAGGAAGAAAGGAAAAATTTTTATAATTTCTGTCTTTCTTAAAGGTCGACTCAATAAAATTTTTATTTTGTAACATATATTATTTAAGTTGATCATGGGCAGATTTTTGCATAATTGCATATTTAAAACAATTGAAAGAGTCTAATAGTTATTGACTCAGTTAAGGAATGGAGACTCTATTTGACAGTGCCAACTTTATATGCACTATTATCCCTATTTGATTCCATGTACGTTTAGGTGAAGTCATTGTTAGATGTTTGCACATTCAAAATTAATAACCAGGGCAAATGGTACTCGTACATTAAAATATTTTAATGTGTACCATTAAATCTTAAGCAAGGCAGAGTTTTGACTTTTCAGAGGGAATTGATTTCTCAGTCAATTCATTCCCATCTTGTTCACTGAGGTGCTTAGCAAACAGTGGAATGAAGACAAAACATTCGCATGCAAAATAAATTAAAATATTTTGTTGATTACCGTGCAGGCTGAGACTGAGAGTAACAGACAGAGCTTTAGGTCATGGAAGACGTCACGTTAGGAGAAATGAGACATGGAGTTCAGAAAACAAGACTCAGAGTGGTTGCGTAGAAAAGAAATGTGATGAAATTTCAGCAATATTTGGGGAGAATTAATTATTGTAGACTTCTGACTTTGCTATATACTGATTAGTCTGCTTATATCAATTTTAAGATTGCACAGCTAGAGTTAGTTTGAAATAAGATCCCAGGTCCATGGGATGCTGACATAGTACAGTAACTGGAATGTTATGTAACCTAACTTATTCTGTTAGCATTTTCGTCACACCTTCTCGTTGTTTGTGAAATAAAGGACCCTTTCACACTTTTTCAAGTATTGCATCTTACATTTATCATCTCTATTTTTCTATCTCTAGCAACCACCTTATTTGGTCAAATGCTTCCAGTTTTGTTGATGAAACTCTAAAGTGTTTAGCTTTTAAAAAACTGCTATACATGGTAACAAAAGTGTTAATGATGCCTAAATAGCTTTGGCAAAGTTTGACTATGAAAAGAGTAGTTTTATCCTCGAAGCTGCTGTTGTATCCATCAGCTTTTCTTTGTTGAAGAATGAAAGGGAGATTTCTTTGTAGGAACTGGGTGCTATTCATTGTACAACCATCCTTTCTTTAAAGCTGGCACAGAAGTAGAGTACGCCAGAAAAAAAAACAAAAGTGGCTGCACTCCAAGGAGTTGTTCTTTCACAGTCCACTGCTCAGACGGCCAGCAATTATTATTACAGATCATTGTCCAGCACAGGGTCAAAGGGGCTACAGAAACATGAACAGATTCCTATCCCAGTGCTCCTGTTTAGTCTGAGTGGCGAGTAGTGCAGGAAAACTTATGACTTCAGTTTAACTGTTCTGCTCTATAATATCCACAAAAATCTCACAATCATGTCCTACTGGAAGCTGACCGGGTTGTATAAACAAAAAGAAATGGAGGTCAGAGTCATCTTGCATGGCCGTAAACGTGACTATAAAAATGAAATAACCCGAGACATTCACCCCATGTTAATCGCTCTTTGGCTATTTAGTAGATTTTAATCGCTGTGGCCTCCAGCCTCCGTCGGTGACAATGGAGATTGGCTTTTATTGGAAATGGAGCTGAGATGGAAGTGCTTAATTACCTCCATTCAAATAGCTCAGAGGTCTTTGTCGGAGAGCGATGACTGCTTTTGGGAGCAGGATATTGCTTTTGAAATTCCATAGGGTTCAGAAGATTTAATATTGACTGCAGGATGCGAGAGAACTCTGTTTTAGTAATAGCTCTGTCATACTAATGTCCCCTGTCATAGGTATTGATGCTGTTTTTATTTCTTGCATCATATTTGAATTTCCCTTGAGAAAGACTAAAATCTATTCCCTCCATGTGTCTAAAACGAGGTTACCTGTCTGCATAAATGACTCTCATGCATCAAAGATTAAAAAGGGTTTGAAAATGTGAGTGGCTCTCTTTAGCCCAGTTCTTTTAGTGTCACAAATGCAGATTGTCACATAATAACAAGAAAACCTTAGGTTCAATCAAGGTCAGATGACATCAAAAGAGGGCAATTGGAGTTTTTTTGACAAAAGACACTAAGTGTTTTCGAAATGGCAGCTATGTCCCTCATAATTGCCCACCTATCATCTTCTGTATTACTGCTCTGGACACTTAGCATTCAGTCCCATCCTGTGTGCGCCATCAAAGTGGGTGTTTAGATCCAAGACAGCTGGCAGCGCCTGATTGGTTTTATGCTTCTGCAAGGTGCCACACTGCTGCGTTTGCATCATAAACATGCATTGTTTAGAAATAATTTTATTAATGTACATTCGGAGTTTGTGTTCGAACATTCATATCATATCACAGTTGAAGCTCGAGGTTTGCATACTCTGTATAAAAATATATACCATGTTTTTCTCATAATCTGACATTAAATTAAACTAAACCCTTTATGTTTTAAGTTAATTTTGATTACAGAAGTATTTTAAATTTGCTGTCAGAATAATCAGACTTGCAAGATGCCCTTTTTATCTTTCAAATTTATCAATCAACAAAAAAAATTTAAGTTGCTTTTTGAGTTATGGTTTCTTCCTTAAAGAAGAGTTTTGCTTTTTGCTTGGGCATTTCACAGCACCTAATATTCATCTCTGGGACACAGCACACCAGTTCCTTTCCTAATATCTTGGCTTATTTTGATGATGTTCTACAAGCAGTACGTTTGAGGTGTTACTTTGAAATACAGCTTAAGGTTCTGTAATCAAATCTGACTATGAAAAACAACATTTTATATCAAGTCCCTTGTGAGGATTGGTGCTTATATAATCTTTTTTTTAGAGAGCACTAAATAGAGTTCAGCTTGATTTGTTTGTTCCTTGACGCGAGCATCAAACATTTTGTTTTTTCACAAGTGAGTTTTATATATTGTCCTTAACCATTCTCAATTCCTGTAGTTATCCATTTTTATTTCAAGAGCCTGCAACATCTACCCTTTGTCTTTCCTAATAAACCTGGGTCGTACAAAGAAGATTTCCCGCAACTTCCAGCACTTTATGGCCTTTGCAGGTAATGTTTTTCTCAACTTCTAATCATTACTATGCCTTCAGCATTGATACAGTTGGGATTTTGGGAATAATACATGTTGGATTTTTCAATCATTTTTTCTGCAAGCCCTGACAAAAGAAAACTTTTCCATTTCATTCATTCCATCATTTAGAGCTTTCAGCTACTTTTGTTCGTGAGGATGATAAGAGAAGGTGTCTCTTGTGGAACGAGTGTAGCACGATGTCTTGATGAAGTTAGTTTGACAGTCACAAACGCCAGCAACTACTTAAAGCCTTTAATATTTCATTACTTTTGCTCCTGGGGGCAGTTCTGCTTAAACAGATATATTCAGAATCACAAATGTTTTTATTTTTTACTCTTACTTCACTAGTTTTTGTTTAAGGTGATGTGTACTAATCATTACCTTTATATAAGTGTGTTTGACAGTAATATTTCAAACATTTTCCAGTTAAAAGACTAGGGAAAGGGAAAGAAATGTTTTTATAGAAAGTAATACGCCATCCTGTATGTTTGCTGGTCTGACCTACTTTACTGCTTATGTAAGAATGCTTCCTTATGAAAACCCCTTATCTTGCTTCTTTTTTTTTATGTATCCACCAACATAAGCAACCAGTACCTCCCCCATTTCTTCCCATGGAGGTCGATGACTTCCCAGGGGACATTTTGACGCTCTGCATTACACAATCTGAACTATTTGTTGGCCAAATGGTTTATGCTGACAGTGATAGTTGGAGTGTAATCTGTTTTCATTCTATCGACTTATTATCTGGACGGCTTGCTGCCTTTTATAAACAATTGTTTGATAGTTTTCTGGTAGTTTTACAAAAGCCCTTAACCCATATGTGTGCTCAAAACAGCTTTGTTTTCCATCTGTACCCAGGTTTAAGAGGGGCAATTTCTTTTAGCCTGGCTGTAAGAGACACTTCAACAGAAGCACGGCGCACCATCCTCACCACCACACTGCTTCTGATTGGCTTCACCGTCTGGGTGCTGGGTGCAGCTGCCGATCCCCTGCTGGGCCATCTGGACCTCAGGTCAGTGTTTTCTGGCTATTTAAAGTCTGGTTCTGGTGTTGGATATCTGAATGTTCCTCTTGCTGAAAAATGTTCAAAAAATAAAAACAACTATAGTTTGGAGAAAAACTAGACAAAAGTGGCATATAACGGCAAAAATGTCCCATGAAGAAAAAACTGCTTTTCTCAACCAAATGAAGCAGAGTGATGATGCTTGGATTGATTTAATTGAGGTTTCGTTCCCAGTCTCTGCTCATAGAAAACCTTGCATCGTGGCATCAGCCTTGTGTTACCAACCCTTTTTGAAGGATTTAAAAAACACAAGCCATTGGCAAAGTTATGGTAAATGTAAGCAATTTTCTTCCTGAAATCTTTGGCTTCCTTCAAGGTTTCATCTGTTACTCTATCAATATCAGACAAGTGGGTAGTCTGAATTAAACACACTGAATCACTTTTCAAGTGATTCAACTAATTATGAATTAATCATGGATCATTTTGAAAGCTTATTGAGTTGTTAACTAGATTAAGGTCATTCACTTTTAAAGGTCCATTGAACATGTATTAATGTGCATGTATTACTAAACAGCTTCCTGATCATAACTCCTCAGGGACATAAAAATAAATCAGCTGAAGACAATATTAGGTTCATCTTGAATACCAACGTGGCAAAATATTATTTGAGCTTAAAGTAATGTCATCTGCAAAGATCTTGGCCAGAAGAGTGAAATGAGGTTAGTAATTTTCTTAACAGATAGAAGAGCCTAATCGTAGGTGTTGTGGAAGTTTGTGTTTAATGTGCAGTAGTGCATCAATTGCTTAAAAACAACCTTGATTCATCTGTTATTTGTGGAGTTCTCCAAAGATCCATTCTTGGGTTGATTTTATTCTAGACAGACATTTTTATACACTATTATAAGAATATTTTACATTTATTGTTATTGCTGATGAGCCTCAGACCTCTTTACTTTTGAATCACTGTTGTTCTTTTTCCTTAAAACCACTGTAAAACTGGGATTGTCCTTAATTTCCTCTATTTTAATGAGTGAAAAAAAAACAGTAATTGTTTTTGGCGAAAGATGCAATTGCCCCACTTCTGGGACAGAAGTAATAACCTTAAATGTCCTAGTTTTTCCTTCCGTTGGTGGCATCTGTAGCATTGTGGAAAGTGTTTGCCTTTTTACAGCTATAACCTGTTTTTCTTGTTTATTAATTACACTTAAATGTTTCTTTTCATTAAGCTAATTATAAAATTAGATGAAAAGTAAATGCCATTTTAAATAGTGATTTCCAATAATGCAACCAAAATTAGTTCAAGAACATATGAATATTATTAAGTACTAAACTAAATAATCATGCAGAAGCTTAAAACCAATCAGGCGCTGCATTTGGTGTTACGCGGGTTAGCTATTTTAAATAAATAGTTGATCATTTCAAACATTAAAACATCTGTTCCCTCCAAAGCCACTGCCTGCTTAAATTTGCAAATCTGTCTTAAGAAAATATTGCTATCTAATGAGAAATTGTTGGCTGTTCCACCTCCAAGTCTGAGCACAAATCTATGATTTGAGGAGAGTGGGCGATAATGATAAAGGTGGGCAGAAAAGGTGGGAGGGATGTGAGGTGGTAATTAGTGACCTATATTATTAAAGCGTAACACATGGCCCAAACCATAGCAATATACTTTATTCCAGCTTGCTACATCTTTCAGCAATGCCTGATGGAAAATCTTAAAATATTTATACAGTGTAAATATCATGTTAAAGATTTTCTTTGCTGATCTTAGTAAATAAAACTCATATATTATGTGGATTCATTAGACTTCAGTTGTTTTTTATATTTGAGTTACATATAATGAAACACAAAATTCTTTATGAGAAAAAGAATTTCTCACAACCATCAGAGAAATGATTTAAAATTAAAAAATATTTACATATTATGGAATGTCCATGTTAGAACTTCAACATGGGAACGACTTCTGACTTTTAAGACAAGTCCCCTTTTCTCCTGAATCAGCTTAGTCCTATCTGAGGATTGAAGGATTTACTCTGTCATGTAGGAAATGTGGAAATTTTATTGCCCTGCAATGCCTACATCAAAGGATTGAAATAGCTTCTTATAAACAATGAAAGAAAAGTCATTTGTGAAGTCAAGCAAAACCTGGAAAACCCCTGTTGTTAATGAATTGCAGGCTGGCTTTGGTAATTTAATTGGCTCAGTTGTTTGTTCAAGGTTTTTGCAACCAAACAAGCTTAATTTCACAGTTATAAAGGGAAAAAAGAACCTTTCTCTGCATGAAATCAAGCTGGGCACAAGATGTATGTCCATAACATCAGATTTCTTCTGCTTGTGCAGTTTCTCTGTGGTTCCTAGATCTGATCATATTTTTGTCACCAGAGACTGAGCTGGTATGAAGCCTGAGATTAGATGTTGTAATTCCCAACTTTCTGTGCAATCTGTTCTCTGTCTGTTCTCTGAGTAAATCTCTGAATAAATCAAACCATTCAAGCCCAGTAAAATCCAAACAATGAATTAAGGATCTCCTTGCAGTTTCAAAGGATCTCCTTACAGTTTTACAATCAGGAAGCTGATTATTCAGCCTCTTGCTGACTCTGTGGTAGCTGTTCATGATGTTGCCTTTGACTTTTTTGTAATCCAAACTTAGAATCTTATTGATCTTATGTCAAATAACAGAAAACATAGAAAGTGTTATGCACAACTATATTTTTTGATAGTTTTTAATATGGGTTTATTAAATTTTTTCAAAGAAGCATTCTAATATCTGTCTAACATTTAAAAAATTACTTCTGAGTGGAAATTTCCTATGGAGGCAATAGAAAAACACAATACATATATTGTATGTATTGTGATCTGACATAAAAGCAAAACGGAGAACCTGCAGCAACCCACTATTTCTGAAATGGCCTTTAAATTACCTTCCAGAGCCCACCTGAGAAGATGTAGCGATAAATGCAATATAATAAATTGTGTTTGTTTAAATCTTTTTGTCAGGGACTATAACGCTGAGATTATGAGCTCAGTGTTTTGTCTGTTCCCTAAAGATGTTTTTTTTTTAATTAGTAAATATCTCTGAAGCTCAAAGCAGAAACATTGCAATCCTGATCCAGAAAATAGCTGTTTCTCACTGCCCAAACATTCACCTAATAACACTTTCTGTAAATTATTATATACTTTCAATGTTTTTATATTTTGTCACCTACCAACAGATTTGCATATCTGAACATCAGACAAGTGACAACACATTTAACTCTTTTACCCCTAAATAAAAAACATTGCAATTAAGCAATGGTTCCATTATTAGTTAACTGAGTCCAACTGTTTTTAATGTAATCTCAGAATGAATACAGCTGGTCTGTCAATGCCCCAGAGGTTTGTTAGAAAACATTAGTGGAGAAAGATAGGATTCAACCACAATTACACTCTTTGGGCGAGATAGAAAATTTTGTCTGCCAGAAACTAACACAATGTAAAAACCATGGAGCACAAAACCTGTAGGATGATGAAACATAAAATTGGGACAGAAATTCACCTTCCAGCAGGACTGCAACTCTGAACATATAGCCAGAGCTATAAAGTAATAGTTTAGATTAGCAGTCTGCAACATTTACAATCTAAGGATAAATTATTTCCCTCAATTCTGCTCATTTAGACACTAAAATGTCATATGACGTTTTGAAAAAGGAAAATGTATAATTTTTGATAATCATGTTCAATTTCTTCTCTAAAGAACCACTATTTTATTAGAATGTTTAGATTTGTATAATTCTTTTCTGTGAGATGTTAATATTTGTGAAAATTAGTTTAAAAAAACATAGAGTAAAAGAAGACATTATTGTAACTTTTAGGGTTATTTTATTGTGAAAATTAAATATATTTAATTATTGACAAACCTGTAAAGCTGGCAAATCCTTCCTTTGGTATTATATTTACATTTAATAGCATTAAATTTTTTATTTAGCATTTCCAGTTGAAGTTCTTAAGAGGCAGGTCCATTTGCAGCTGCAGAGCTGCAGGTTTCAGACCCCTGGTTTAGATGAAAGCATATTGATTTCTTATAATGGTTGAAACCTAAATCTAATTGAGAGTCTTTGGCAGTGCTGGATAACTGCCTCTCCATCCAATCTGGAGCTATTTTTGCAAACATGAGTGAGCAGATATTTCACCCAGTAGATGTGCAAAGCTGTTTCGAAGACACAGCAGACTTTTGGGGTAATTACAGCAAAAGGTGGTTCTATGCTCTATTGACTCAGAAGCTGAATACTAATGCATGCCACAGTTTCTTGTCCAAGAAATAAATCAGTTGCTTATATTCTTACAAATTTTGTTAGATGCAAACCATCTTTAAAATGATAAACCTTTGAAGAGTCAACATCATTTTTTGGATTATTCTTTGCTGTTTTTCACAATCTGCCTAAAGTTTTTTTGTAATTACTGATCCAATAGAGCTTAACAAGACAAAATGACAAGCTAAGGGCTAAATTTAATCTTTTAATCATAAACTGGTTTCTTGTGTAACCAAATTATGTACCAGATTTAGTTTTCCAGACTGAACGCCAGCATTTAAGAAAGGAATCCTCAGATTTGATTAACAAAGTCACTTGAACAACCTTCTGGCAGATTTTAAGGGATGAAGTCTTCGTTTGACTAACCTTTCAGGACAAAATAGAACAGCGTGCGGCTTTATATGTGTTGGCACTGGTGGCAAGACTTCTTAAAAACACTTAAATACATTTATATTTTATGACTGAAGAATTATCTTGTCATAAAAAGTAAAATCAATGTAACCTTCTAATTTTCAGTGGGGAAGAGCCCTACAAATATATATTTTTAACATATCACTCATACTGAGACAGAGATATTCAGTGAATTTCATAAATAAATGTAATGCATACTTTACTTTTAACATTGATCATACTGTTTAGAAACCTTAATTTAATTATCTGAGACATCTGATCTGTCTGGGACTTTATAAATATAATCTAACACAGAGGCCCAATTGTCTT